GGGTGGCCTTCTATTAGGGGTGGCCTTCTAATAGGACTTTTATGGTAAAAAATTACAATTTTTTTTTGTTAGTTGCTGATTCTGTTTTTCTAGCTCGACAACTGAAAATTGAAATTTGTTTAGACTTTTTGAGCTAATGCTACCCATGTAGCCGATTTTATGAAATAATGGGCATTGCAATGCATTATTTTACAATAGAAATGCAATGGATGCAATTACATGATAATGCAACCTATTTCATGCATTATAATGCATTATTTTTAATTAATCCATTGCAATACATTGATTTATCAACGCATCATAATGCATTTTTTTTTATAATAATGCATTACAATGCATTGAAAATTTAGGCATTATCCTTCATTTTCAGCATTATTAGAAATAATGCATTGAAATGCATTGAAAAGTCAAAAAATAATTAATTATAATGCATTAATTCATGTTTTTCTTCAAATAATGGAAAATAATGGATCATTTTCCATTATTCATCCATTATCGGCTACATAGGTATTATATTTAATCAACAAATATTAGTATACCTATCCGATGTCTGGCACCACAAATACTTCAAAGAACAAAAAAGTTTTTATATATATTCAAAAGATATGTAATCGTACCAAAGCAAAAGAATTGAAGCGATCAAATAGGCATATTAAACTTTGTTTTGTTTTGACAGCTTTTGGAAATTGAACATACCTCTTTAAATTTATAGCAAAACCAAACAGGAGTGCGGTGGAGATCATACATGATCTCTCAAAATGCTAAGATATTTATAAAACTAGCACAGAATATTTATGTAATATCCAAACAATTCATTAGAAAGCCATGGCCTTCTAATGTGACTTTTGCAAATATGACTCAGGGGTGGCCTTCTAATGGGGGTGGCCTTCTATTCTGGGGTGGCCTTCTATTCTGGGGGGGAGTTTACATAAAAAAAAAACTGATTCATTCTTTGTAAATTGTAGAGCTTTTTACTCTGTATCTTGTAGCATATTTTGTTTTTTTTTGACCTAACATATTAGATGATGAAAAAAATGAACTAGAAACTACGAACAGATTTTTAACTCTAATAGAGTAGAGGGAAATTTAGCAAGTCCGAAAAGTCTGTAGTATACAGGAAACATATAATACTAAATAACTATATACAATCTAATAAAAATAAATAAAACTTTAATTTGAAATATATATATATTATTTTTAGAGCTCTTCTATTCCATTAAATTCAAATGTCAAATAGTTTTGATGTCAGCTACAACATAGATTTAAACATCAAAAATCTATGTTTTCTTGTAACCTTCCATTTATTCGTGATTGATTCTTCTCTAACTCTCATTTGTTTATGTAACTATCATCATAGAGCAATCAAAATTATTTAACATTATTAACAATAGACCTGAATGACTGAACATTGTATAGAAAACCAGCATTGGAAATATTTAAAAACAAACCGTAAAAATATTAGACATAAATTCATTGATATTACAAGTTTATTAATCTAGGATTGTTTATACAATCATTAAATGAAAACAGTTACAAAAGAATATTAAGAACGAATAAGACATAATATTACCCGAGTAAAAAAAAAACAAAGAAGGCAAGAACTAGAAAAAAAAGAAAACGACTTGGACGGATTTTAAAAAGCTTACATACATCACTACCTGAGAAACAATCAATAAGAACAAAAAAACAAAGAAATAGGAGCGAGATCTTTTTATTTATTAATTTTATTTGTTGGAGTTTTTTTTTTCTACAATAATATTGCCTTGTGCATCTTTGATTTTTATTTTTCCATTAGCATAACGTACTTCTTGTTCACCAGTATTAAATACTGTTAATATTGAACCATTTGGAAATAATTTTCTTTTATATGTATCTGTATGAACTTCTTTTGTTTGATTTGGATGTTGAATAAATTTTTCTCCATTTGTTTTAATTGATATAATTGTACCATCAGTTAAATAAATATTTTTTGTTTTATCAGGTAATATATGTTCTTGTCGTCCATCAGGTAAATGTTTTTCAATTTGTCCATTTGGAAATTCATATATATGTGTACCATCTGGATATTCTGTTTCAGTTGTATTTGTACTTGCATATTTATATATACAACGACCATCAGATAATTTTTCTTTATAATCACCATTATAAAACTGAACACGTATTTGTTTACCATCTGAACTGATTTCTTGTTTTGAACCATTTGGAAATAGAATTTGTTTTGATAAATCAGATTTAATACGTTCAATACGTCCATCATTATGATGAATTTCTTCAATTATTGAATTATTCGTTGGTATAGATATATTTTCTTTAAATGTTATATTTTTTGTTGTTGATGATGGTATATTAATATGAGATCTTGGAATAATTGAATCATGATTAATTGTTGATAATAATTGTCGTTTTGTTGTTGATTGATCAAGTAATGATAAAGTTTCTTGATGTCGTTGAAGAAGTGTTGTGGCTGATGATGATGTACGTGTAGCCATCGTTAATAATGATTTATAATCGAGAGTAGTTGGATGATTTGATTCATCATTATCAATAAATGTTTTTGGATAATCAGAATTAATAATAGATGATAATGATCTACATAGAGAAAAAAAATTATTTTTATTATCATCTGAATCTATGAAGAATTTTAAAGTATATCAACAGTAATGTCCTGAATCCAGTCCGATCTGAAGAAAGGACTCGGATGCAAACTCGTAGGATCGTGTCCGCAAATATATACAAGATTTTGATCCTTCAAAATGCTAATGTATATCAAAGTATATGAATGAAAAGTAGTGGTTTGATTGCGATCGAGCAACTCATTGCGATTAGGCCACCGAAGTTGAAAGGGATGTTGTTTTACTTAGAGAATTTGTTTTTCATGAAAATTCATCCACAGATGATGAAGAACTATATGACTAAGTAATTCAATAAAGGAGAACTAAATGATCTGTCACAAAGGTAAATATACATTATCGTGGTAGAAAAAGTATTCATGTATATATCCACAATTATGATGTTTGCTATCACCATTGTGTTTCATTGTTGCGTCAACAGTAACAAGAAAACATATGCTTATTAAAATTAATCAAGTTGTAGAAATAGAAAAATATCTAATGAATCTTGAATCACTTGCTTTTTCATATAAAGTAAAAGTTTGAAAAATATTCTATATGATACTCGTTTTTTAGTCTTCACTTAAAAGAAAAATACGATTAACATCTGTTTTTCTTGTCTACTTACGGTGATAAATGTTCATCAGTTTTTCGATCATATCGATGACTATCATCATCACTTCCACCATTTCCTGAATCAGCTCGTTCTGATATAACAATTGGTGGCTCAATAATTGTTGGTATTGGTACTGATTCCATAGTTTCTGTTAATTCATTCATCGATGTTGGACGTTTTGTTGTTGGTAATGTTGATAATTTTCTTGATGTATCAACATTATTTTTAATACCATTAACACCAACAACTGTTGTTGGTGTTCGTCGTCCATTTGTTGTTACTTTTGATTTAATTGGTGGTTCAGAATTTCTTACAACCATTGTTTTTGGTAATGATTGAGTTTTTGATGTTGTTGGTCCAGTACTTTTTGGACGTTGTTTAGTTTGTTGAAGTTCAATAAGTGATTTTCTTGTTGTTGTTGTTGTTGATAATGATGATGTATCTTCATGTAATTGTTGTTTAGAAGTTGTTTGTAGTTGATGCATAAGATCAAGTCTTTTACGTTCAATAATATCTTTTTCTTGTTTTAATTCAGCATTTTCATATTCTAATGTTTCAATACGTTCTTTTAGACGATTAACTGTTGTTGACCAACGTATTTCACGTTGTTTTAAATCTTCTTGTAAAGTTAAAACCTATTGAATACAAAAACCAAAATTTCAAACTATCAATATACAATTGATAAAGATCGTTTTATTTTATTTTTACTTGTTTTTTTAATATTTCAATTTCTTCTCGTTCACGTTTATCTGGATGATCACGTAATTGTTGTCGATGTTGTTCAAATAAACGTTTTTCATGTTTTAATTTTTTTATTTCATCTTCTTTCATTTGATTAAATTCTTCGATTTCTTTTTGTTTAGTTTTTTCAAATTCATCACGATCTTGTTTTAATTTTTTTATAGCTAAATTACGTTCATTACAAAGTGATTGTAATTTTGTATTTTCTTTTTCAAATAATTCAATTTGTTTTTCTAATTCTTTAGCTTTTTCACGTACTAAACGACTATAATCTTGATTATGTTCAGATGCAGATGATGGTGGTGGTGGCGGAGGAGGAGGTGGAGGAACAACAGGTGCTGATGTTGGTACTGTATGTCTTAAACCTGGAAATGTATTAAGCATTAATGAATTAAGAGGTGGAGCATTAACACGATCAGCCCATGAATGATCATCACCAAAATCTGATGAACGTGCTGAATCTTTCTTTTGTTGATAATGTGTTTGTTTAGAAAAATCAGTTTTAAATGAACTAATACCACTATCACTATTATAATCATCATTAACAACAGGAATAACTTTAGCTACTTCAATATCATCCCATTTATGATCTTCATCATCATCATCATCATCATCATCATCATGATCACTTGTTACAGTAACTGTTGTTGGTATTTGTTCAATACGAGTATCAATTTTATTTTTAAATGGTATAATTTTTCGTTGTCGAATACGATTTGTATTTGTTGATAAATTATTAATTTCTTCATGTTTAGAATCATTTTCTTCTTTATGATAATGAATTAAACGATTAACAACTATATCCACTGTTTTTGACGGTTGATCATTCTACAAAATTCAATATTTCTGTTGTTAATAATCAAAAGAAGATTATTTTATTCTATCTATTTTAGGAACACTGTTCTTCATTAAAAAGTGAGTTTATGGATATTATCAAGCCACGTTTTAGATCGTGTTTTGTAGAAAAAAAAAGAAAAAAGAGTTTCTTACATTAAAAACTACTTTATCAACATAAGATGCTGTACTGATCATAGATGGATGTTCTTCGGCATACTGTTCAAGTTTTTCAAATTCATCTAAATCCTAAAAAAAAGAAAATAATCAATCAAAAAATTGAATAATAAATTATTTTTATACTTTTTTTGGTTGAACTAATGAAATTTTTGATTGAATAGCACTACTACGACTTGATGTACGTTGACGATTAGTTGAATATAAGTCATCATCATCATCATCATCAATTTGTTCTTGTTCATTATGATGAAATGATGTTTTATATGCATTCCATTTTGAATCAATCATTGTTTGTATATTAGAATTAAATTTATTCATTGCTGATGTAAATTCATCATCATCATTATTATCATTATCATTTAATTCTATTGGATTTTGTTTTGTTTGATATTTTGTTAATAAATCATCTTCATCATCTAAATCAACTTTACCTAATAGATTACTTTGAGTAGATATAGAAGGTATTTGTTTTGTTGAATTTATATTATTGATTTGTTTAATTGGTTTATTTTTTAATGATGAACGTGATGTTTGTCGATTTGATACCAATGATGCTGATGATGAATTTGAACGTGTTCGTTGATTTATTGTTGCAGAACGTGAATTACTACTAGCACTTGTTGGTCGTTTAATAGGCTAAAAAAAAAAGAAAATGGTTTTTACGATATTTTTTAAGTTTTTGTTGTGTTTTCTTCTAGAAAACTCATTTTTGAATTTCAACGTAAAATTTGTGATAACTTCTAGTAACTCATTAGAAACTGATTCGGTAATTTTGATTTTTGCGAAACGTTACCAAATGATCTATCGGAGACACAACTGTCTAGTCTAGAAAAATTTATTCGTATCGTATCTTAAATAATTCTTCAATACTCGCTTTTTTTTTTTGAAAATTTATTTAATTGACAGTTAGTATCATTTCTTTTAAATTATGTCCTCATTTATATTATAAACTTGAGTTTCGATCTCTGTTGTGTCACTATCGAATCCTATAATACGAGACAATTGACTGTTATGTTTCTTAATTCAATGAAATATTCAACATCATAATTTTCTACCTCAGTTTTTGTATTATTTGTCGTATCAATTATTTTTGGACATGTTTGACGACGCTTTGGTGGTGCTTGATAATGTGCAAGACCTTGACGTTTTCGTAAAAATGGTCGTTTTTCTTTAGTTCCTTGATTTTGATTAATAAATGTTTCATCTTTCTAAATAAAATATAATCTATTTATTTTTTCTAAATATATTCTTGTTTATATTCTTTCAAAATCAAAACAAAAATAGCACATAAAAGACTAGATATTATAGGGATTTTATATATTATTGTACAAGAAAAAGTTTTTATTTTTTATTTCAATAATATCTATTTATCATCAAACATTGATGTAGATGTTGATTGTATTGTTTTAATATAAATAATATCATCATCATCATCATCATCAACATCATCCTCAATGATTAGTTCTTGTTGTTCATTTAAACAAATAGTTGATTCCATTCTTATATTTTTAATATCTAATGAATTTTCATATGTTTGTTTATTTCTTGTTATTGGTAATTTATTCATATGTTGATAAATAAAATTTAAATTATTAAATGTTGATAAAATATCATTAAAATCAATTTTTTGAGAATTATTTAATATAAAATTTGTTTTATATAATAAATCATTTATTTTTATTGATGTTATTTTTTCTAGATGATCACAATTATTATAACAAATATTAAAAATCTTCTTAAGATTTATTAATAAATTTTTACGATCATTATCAATACATATTTGACATAAATAATAATCACAACATAAACATAAATTTAATAAAGTATTAATTTTACATTTTATACAATTTCCTTTTATATTATAATTTATTGGTATTAAATCAAGTAATTGATTATGAATATATGATTTAGGAATATCATTTAAATTTTTATATGAAAATTTTTGACGACATAATGGACATATAATTTTTATATATGATTTATTTGATGATATTATCATATTAAGACATGAACAACAATATATATGTTGACATGGTAATGCACGTGGATCATGAAAACGAGTAAGACATAATGGACATTCAAGATTTTCTTCAATAGTTGAATAAGAATATGCTAATTTTGATGAAGAAGAAGAATCATTAATAAATGATGAATTTTGAACTAAATAAAAAAATTATTGATAGAATTGAATTAAATTATAATTTTTATATATAGTAATTAACTAACCTTTTATATCTGTTGTATTACAAATAGTTGATTTATTTATTAAAGAAATACTTTCAAGTGTTGATGTCATATTTTGAAAGTAATTGTAAACAAATATCAAAATATTCTTATAAAATATAAATTCAATGTAATATTAAGAATTATGATTGAGTATATAAATAATATAATAATAGAAAATATATAACTAAAACATTAACATGGAATATTCCAATTTATTTTCTTCCAGGAAAAAACCCACCAATGACAAATAAACATACTTCTTATCATATGCATAAAATTTTTTCCTTAAAATCCATTATCATTGTTGTTTGTTATCGAAATATAAAATTGTTATTTTTTGTGTTTTTTTGTCGATTCTTCTATTTCGCTTCGTTTTTTTCGCTTAAAGTAATCTACTCCTATTCATTTCTTTTTTTTACAACAACAACAAAAGAAAATTTAGTTTGTCTTTTATGTGCATTTAAATCATGATCATGAAGGAAAAGAACAAAAAAAAAAAGTTGAGTATCATAAATGATTATTTACCTCTGTTTGAAGTTTTTCAAGGATGTATTCACTGTATTTTAAATCTAGAATAATAAGAATAAAAGAAAAGAAAAAAGAAAATATGATCAAATATTTTACTTTCATTTTTTGTAAATATTGTTGAAACAGGTATTTCATCAATAGAAGAAAATGATGGTGCTTTAGGATGGTTAATTTTTTCTTCTTCTTGGTAACTATGATTATCTTCATATATTGGAATTGATGGAGATATTTGTATACGTTGTTGATGTACATCAATTAGAGATGTCATAGGTGTCGCATCTTCACAAGATGCTTCAAATATAGTTGATAACATATTTTCTTGTTCTTGTTGAGTTATTATTTGTTGTTGTTGTTGATGTTGATGATGATGAGTTTGAAGTAATTGATTATATGCAGTTATATATGAATCTTCAGGTTCATCATCATTTGTTATACGATTTGTTATTCGTTCATCAAGTATTTCATTATCAGTAATATTTAATGGTTGAAAATCATCATCAATATTCCATTCATAATCTCCATTATCATATGAATCTTGATGATGTGATGATGATCGATTTGTTAACTAAATTAAAATTAATAATATATATTATTATTATTGATTATATTTATTTACTTTATATGATGAATAATGTTGTTGTGATAATGGTGGATCAGATGGATTAATACTATTTTTTGATGTTAAAAATAAATCACGACTAAAAAAAAAAAAATTTTTCTTATGAATTATAATCTATTATGGAATAGATTTAAATTTAGATTTTCGAATAAATTTGAAATATTTTCTTATGAATGAAATAAAATATTCTTGTGAAAATAATGTTTATAGATATTTAATAGGATTTTTATTTTTCATTATAATATTAATAATAATAGTACGAGTTCTGTTTATTAAAGAATATATATGTGATTATATAGAATTAAATTGTAATTTACCGTGCTGAATTTTGTACTCGATTAGATTCATCTTGTTGAGATCGAGTTGAAATTTGTTGAGATAGTAATTTAGACATATAATTAGACTAAATAGAAGATATATATTTAATTTTTTTTATTTTCAATAAATCGATTATTATTTAAATATGCTTCTCGAGATAGATTTGTTAAAGTAAAAATATATGAGATTTTACTTTTTTATTTAAAAAAATAAAGTTTGTTCTACAAAACTCACTTCTTCTTCTTTTAATTTTTGTAAACGTTTTTGATAATCTTCCGTTTGTTTTTTACCAACTTCATCATGCATTCGTTTTATCGAGGCAAATCTAATTGAATAAATACAATCAACTAAAGTAAATCATTAACTAAGACATTAAATAATATTACTTTTCAAAAATAGCATTTCGATCAAGTTCATTATCAGATGCCATTACATACTATAAAATTGATTTGTAATCGATTTGATTTGAAAACCACAAGATAAAAAAGAAAAAGTAAACAAAGCTTTAAAGAATTCAGCCATCGTTCGATTGAGTTCGTTGCTGTAGCTATCAGGACTTCATTTTTATGATAATTTATATCAATAAAAAAACATTTTTGAATTAGAATAATCTTTTCATTAGACAGAAATATTTTCTTAAAATATTTAAAATTTATTTCAAAAACATTTGCTTTGAAAAATTGTCAACCAGCGTCATCTATCAGAATAGTTTATCTTTTTTAGATAAATATATTGGTATTTTAAGTTGTCATTCATCTTAAAAGAAAGTCGACAAGTCAAAGTTTTGATTAAAAATCGCGATGGATTTACGCGGAGATAGTTTATAAAATAAATAAATTAGTAAGATCTTTTTTCTCGCATAATACAGCTTCTATACAAAGACGTACTCGTTACTTAAAGATGAAATTTGTTAATATTCAACTAGAAAGTGCTTTCAACATTGATACTTTATGAATGTTGTTGATTTTTCGAAATATATTCGAGCTAATGCAAGATGAAATGATATTTGTCCAAGAACTTTTACACCACCCGTTATTTTGATCAAACATGAGTTCATATACTTCAAATAAACTAAATAATTTCCAATAAAATAATTGGTATTGATATTTTATTGACTTATATGTTTGACGTAATGGATAAATATTCTAATAAGTGTAGATAAATAAACCGTTTATTTGTATAAGCAAAATGCATAAATGATGTTTTGAACTGATTAATATGGATTTTTTTCTTTCTACATTGATAGATAAATCTTATATTCTTATGACTTCTATTGTAGTGTGTTATCTTGTTATTGAAATCAATCAGTTATTCCTTATTACGAGTCGCTTTCGGATAGTTTTTTCTAGAAATGCTATCAAACAATATACACTGCATGAAATTCGATTCATTTCACAAAATCTGTAGATATGAATCTTCTTTTAGACTACATCCACACCTTTGTAATCCGTAGCTAGACGAGCAACAAGATTTTCTTGTCTTTTCTGTTTTTTTTTTTAAAAACAATATCGGTTTTTTTGAAAGTACTATCATTCGCTTGGCGCAGTAGCAGCAAGATTTTTAAAGTTGTACTGAAGTTATTGTTCGTTCCCATTTCTGTTTACATGGATATTCCAGTTTGTAATAATAATAAACCCAATAATAAACATTTTCGAGTGTTACAAAACTGATCAACCATTTCTTTCTAATTATACGCGATAAAGAAAGTTCTAAGTCAATATAGTTTTCAGGATAATCATAGAAAGAAATGGTTGATCAAGTTTGTAACAGTCGAAAAAACACATTTTTTAAATCGATATGAATTAAATCGAACTATTATAGCTCATACAATTATCATCATATGAACTCACGACAAAACTTGCCTGTGCTTATTGATCAATTTTGATACTCACTGTATAATACACACAAAAAGGGGAAAACTGTTAAAGGGAAGCTAAAGATGATGTTCTATGTTGTTGATTTGAAGTCGGCAAGCCCACCAACACTTCAACCAACTCAAGTTAAAGTGTTGCATCTTTAAAACATCGTAACTATTTCAAATGCATGGTTGATCTTCAATGAAAAAAAACATATCGTTGTAATTGTAAAATGTATAATAGAGACACTGACTTACAAGTAGGGGTACTAATTGACTGCCATTTTATAAGAAAAACAAAATAAAAATATGCATATTTAAAAAATAAAACCTAATGCAATGTTATCTTTGACAAGTTATATTTTTTTTTCGTCTTTGTTCCTTATCTCATATGTATATTAACTATAAATCATGAATGACTTTAAAAAATAAAAAGAAAATTTGAAATAATACTCATTTTGTTGTTGAATTATCATAGATACACAAGTTTTTCTATATAAATCAGTTTTCTTACTTTATGACTTTTTTGAAGAGAACACGAAAGAGAAATCTTCTGTTTGTATGCTGCCAATGAATGAGTCAATGGAGATAAACAAAAAAGGATGACTTAGAATTATCAAAGACTTGAAGGAACATCACAAAATCATTTCTTGCTTTTTTGTTTAAGAACAAAAAAGGAAAACTCAACTATATAGATTTGTGTGCAGACTGATATTAATTTAATGCCAGTGCTATCAGGTCTATCTGATCACTCATAAAAATGATTCATTGTCAAAAACTAGATTTATTTTGTATATATGCATTTTAAAAACTTTATTTGATTGCAGTTTTATTTTCATCGTCATTTATTCGAAATATGAGTTTGAATATACATAAGAGATTTCTCTATTGTATCGTTCATATTTTAAGTAGCGATTGCTTTAGAATCTTGCAGAAACAGCTTTTTGAAAATTATTCGAAATTGGACTTGTCGCTCCTCTCGCAACAGATTCTCCACTTAGGATGGTCGGTTCAGGCTAAAAATTGCAACCTGATGCGGCAAACTAGACTGAATTTTCAGCTTCTTTCTAATCCATTTAAAGTTTCGAGAAGTTTTCGTCTGACCATTCATGTTGTATGATCATTTTGGTATAAATGATTTTAAAAATAAACAAAAATAATGCCATTTCACGACACTAAATCTAGCTTTACTCAACTCAAATATTAGATGTGAAAAACCTGATTGGATAAAACTTTACTCTCATTTAGACGTTTAAAACTAAAAATTTATTGGTGGTATCTTGAGTCGGGTGGGTGCAGTTTCTTTGAATTTTTCTGAGTGAAAACCATGTTTTGAGAAAAAAAGATAAGTGTTAAAATGGTCTTTTCCATTTTGATCCAGAAAAAAACATATTAAAATGGTATATTCATAATATATTCAATTGGAATTTGTTTGATGGACATGACCAGGCCCCGCGCGAGGGACCCAAGATTGGGGGGGTGTGACGAGATTTCAAGGCAGTCAAGACTGAGGGAAGCAAAATTTTTTTCGCATCAGATCTGATGTTAATCTTTTTTTGTGGACCTAAAATGTAATCATTTTTTACGAAGCGACAACTTTTTGCAACCTCCTTAAAAAATTTGATTTTTTCTCGCAAATTTTCAAGAAGAGAACTCGAGTCCAATATGAGAAAATTTCTCGATACTGCCGTTATCGAAAGCGACCACTTTGGTGCAAATTGCTCTATATCAAGCTGTTTCAAAGGAAAAGTTGACTAAAGTATTATCCGATCCAAAATGAAAGACAGGTTACCATTTTTCGCATAACTATTGATACGAACGAGATAGAGAGCTGCGGTTTTCACCATTCGAAAGAGCGATGTCCGAGCCATTGATCGGTGTAGAACTGATTAAAACGAAAGATATTTTTTTTTATGTGTACCTTTGGATCAACACTTTTCCTTTGAGTATTTTCATCAATTTTTAGAATAATCTCAACTCTAATTATGTCAAAATGTAGCTCAAATCATCCTCTTTTTGCTATAAAATTAACATTTGTTTTTTTTTAAAATCCGCTTAGAATAAGCGATTGAGAGATAATAAAATATGTGATAATTGTATAGCGAAAAGAGGGTGATTAGAGCTACATTTTGACATAATTTGAGCTGAGATTATCGTGAAAATTGATGAAAATACTCAAAAGAAAAAATGTTGATCCAAAGGTACCTATAAAAAAAGCATCTTCCGTCTTAATGAGTTCTATATCGATCGATGGCCCAGACATCCCTCTTTCGAATTGTGAAAACCGCACCTCTCTATCTCGTTTCTATCAAAAGTTATTCGAAAAATGGTAACCTGCCTTTTATTTTGAATCGGACAATAGGAAGTTTGTCTAAGTTAACCGCGGTTACACAATTGTTATTTTTCGCAAAGCGAAAACATTTTTCAGACTCACGAAAAACTCTTTTTCTCTTATGTTGTTCGAAAGCAAAAAGTGTTGCGATAACTCTTAGAGATTTCGCCGCCGAAGGCGGTCACGCTAGTGACGACTGTTGGAAAATAAAGCTCTTCAAAAAGAAGACAGAAGTAAAATTGCGTTAAAAACAGAAAAATCACAGATATTTCTAGGTCGAAGACGCTCCCGTGGTCATGTTTTCGCGAAGCGAAAAATTTAAACATCCCTTCAGAAATTTCTAGCAAAAATTTTCAAAAAGATTTATGGATTTCGTTGGCTACGAATGAGTAATTATTAATTATTGGGGGGTGCACACCCCCTACACCCCCCCACTTTCGCGGGGCCTGGACATGACAGATATATATCATATATAAAAATATCATTTTTCAATTACAATCATGTTTTCAATACCCAGAAATGCTTTATAGAAATATCTAAAATTCATTTCAAAGATTCATTATTAAAATTGTAAACCAGTGTCATCTGTTGGAACATTTGTTTTGACGTTTTTAAGTTTTATCTGTTTTAGATAAATATTTTGTTATATTTTGTTGTCTTTCACCTCAAAATAACGTTGGCAAGTGAAATTATTAACCAAAATTCTGATGGATTTAAGTGGAGGTAATTTAAAAAATGAATAAATTGGTAGTAGCTTTTTTTCTCGCATAATACAGGTTCTATCCCAACAATCTATCGTGATCTATTCGAGATGATTAATTTACATGGACTGGAAAAGTTAACATTTACTATATTTGTACCTTTGTTTGAGTCGAACACATTGACGAAAACCGTTTTAAATCAAGCAAGTTTATTGAAAAGATGCTAGAATATTTTCAGGGGTGATAGAACACTTTACTTGTTATTTTATTAAGATTTGGTATAGCGTTACTAAGTCAAGTGCAATAGGTTCACGCAATGATTTTTACAAGTGTTTAGCATTAATGGCACTTGCTCAACAGGGGAAAACAATCGATGTGAAATTATTGGACAATTATGTTAATCGCGGTATCATAGTTCGTGCATGATGCATAAAAAGTATACAACGAGTTTCTTGTCTTGTTTTAGAACTACCGACACCAAATCTTGACAACATAACCAATTTAGAAGATCGTTTAGTTCGTTTACTTCGAAGTGACCAAAA